AAATTACGCACAAAGATCGTCCACATATCGAGAAATGTCATAGACCTATTCAGTTCCCTGAGTTCCTCTCGTGCTACGCCCTTTGAATGCCCAAAGTTTTGAGGCGAGGTTTTCAAAAGTAAATATTATTTGGTCTCCATGGAAGCATGAGAAAATTCACAATGTTTACCTTTTCGTTGACATTTAAATGTAAACAATCAGAACTGCCAAATGCTCATTTCACAATATCAGACAGCTGATACAATGAAATTAAATATATTTTACACAACTATGTGGTAGGATTATTTAATCTAAAACTTTATGATAGATTATGTATTCTAAATCTATTTCAATGATTATGAAACAATTTTTCTTCCCGTTGCGAAGAACGGGTACAACAACCAGTACTTGTATATAATTTTGAATTCTTTAATAGTTCCTCAAAAATACCTGGATTTAAAACATAAAAAGTACATTGGATAGAAGGATATTTTTCTATTTTTAAACCAGGCTGACCTTTATTGGGTAAGAAATTGCATTAAAATAAAAATATTGAATAATCCCAAACAGAAGAAAAACAAACTTACATGTATATGTATTTACATTCTCAAAACATGTTGTTTCATCTAAAGTGTATATGGAAATTAGCTTACATGTGTCTCAGTGGGGTACGAAAGTGTTAATAGTTATTAAAAACTCTTAATCTGAATTCTGCTCGTATTCTTGGCTGAAGGATTTAAAAAGGATACCCAAAACTTAAATAAATAATGCAATAGTGATGACTCGGTTCTTGAACTCTTCTTTGATGTTTGATTCCCACAGGCTTCTGGTTTATTCATCAGTATTGACCGGTGGTCTTATTGCATTTATAAAATAAAACGTCTATTGAATTTTGCATCAAAGTAGGGGCATCAAAGGAGAGTTTGATGGAAGGAAATGTACGCTATAAACAGCTTATCGAATATTACAGAATATGAAGGTGGATCACATGCTTAAACAGTTTGAGGACTTGATAACAAAATATAATTTCTCCATCTTTATTTCTTAGTTTCCCAACAGTGACCTTGGTTTTTTAATTATTTCTTTACAAAATTATGAGAATTTCTTTTAGTAGAGGCTCATTTGCAAATAATATCAACATATCTAATTTCATTGAAAACAAAACAATAAATGTTATATCTTACTTTTTAGGGTTATTTTACCAATAATATGCCCTTTATTAATTTGATTTATTTTTTCAGGATTATTTGCTGATATACTAAAAACTCAGATGTATTATAATTTAAGTTTTAAGCCAGAATTTACTCTTTTGAAGTCCGAAGTCCTGTGAAGTAGTCTTGATCCATTTATTAGTGCCATACACTAATAGACACAGACGTTCGTACAATGTGTTCGTTATCACACGTTCGCAGCATTATAATAATTAATAATAATTAATTATAATAATTTATAATAATGTACATTAGACATACATAATACATAATACATTAGACATTATACACGGCAGTTATTATACATTATAATAGTACTCAATAATTATGTGCACTTCTAGGTGGCTGTCACACAATCTATATTGCAAAAGAATTTTTTTATTTGTGAAACTATTTGTTCCTACCACTGCACGGAAATCAATACATTGCCTTTGTACAGTATGCAAAGTAGTCCATTGTCGCACTAGTTACTTATATGGTGGATAAGTAGTTTGAAAAACTAGATACATTCTATATACTTTACGTTTTTAATCCATATTCATTAAAATTTAATTCATTTAAAATCATGCTTGTAATCTCCACAGTTGGATATTTACAAATAAAATTCAATGGAAGATTTATAAAACACCAGGGAGACGCAGTAGACCCGTGTGAGGCTGATTTACTGGAATGGCCGATCTTCTCCAATGGTAGTTAAACTTAAGCAGCGTTCGGTTCCGGGGTTTGATGCGATTGATTCGGTTTCGTCTTAGGTTTCTGTATAGTGATCAATATTTACCAAAAAAATATTCTACAATTAAAGAATAAGTCAAACACATTTTTTTCACAATATACAGTTCAAGAGGTTATCAATATAGAGAAGCTCCTCGGAGTAAAGACTTTTAATTTTTTTCTAGATAGGTAAAGTAATGTTTAATTACTTCTTCGTTGCAAGGTAATCTTACAGTTTACAGTCATTTGTGATCGGCAGGATTCGTACCCGGGGCTCCATGACTGAAGCCCCGTTCAAAAACAAGACCAGTCAAACACCATGTGCAACTTCGTGTTGAGATTCAAGTTTTAAATAAGAAAAAATGTGTACAATCATGATTGTATAGAATTAGTTTCGTCGTAATGAACTAGTTTGACATTCCATAGTCAAATGAAATTTTACTTTATTTATAAAATGAAATACGGAAAGTAAATAAAAGAAACGTCTTATAACACTTAAAACAAATAAATCTTGTGTTGTTTTAAATGTTTAAAATGAAATAACACTACATTCTTTGGTTTTTCAACTAAATGTCGTAAAGCAGGGTGATTTAGTCTAAATTTACAATAGAATTATGGATATAAACTCAAGCTATGACACCATAGTCTTTGAATGTAGCTTGTTAATGAGAAACCTGTAAATACAAAATATACAAGGTGAAAAAGCTGGTAAGTTTTCATTAAAAAACAGGCATAAACCAAATGGATATAACTTTTTTGATTGACATAAAAAAAATCACTAAAATTTATCTTTTTAAGTTTATTTTTTAAATTTTGAATATACTATTCCACAAATTTCTTTCTCAAGAAATATTATCTTAAGTTAGAAAAAACTTCGCCGACCCTTAAAATATTTTGCAAACATATTGATACCCTGTTAGATGTTTCACATTCAACTATTAATTTGTAGTTAGATACAACACTTAATATCTAAAAACAGCTAAATATTTCAATGTTGGCATAGCTTGTAAGTTGTACAAAGAAGAAACATAACACACTAACTTTTCAATGTTTACTTCAAGTGTTTCAAGTAAATGGCCAAACTCACTCTCAGAATTGCTCTATTACTTGTGTTTGCTCTAGTAAAGTCATAGAAACATTTCGATCTATATTGATGGAATTTGGCAAAGGTTGTTCCAATAAATTGTTTACCCATTTAATAACCATAAAAAATATATCAATGAATAACAATCCTTAACAGAAACTAGTACACACTTCGTCCTCCTTCTCCAGACCTTTATTGAGAGGGTATTTATTTAATAATGGGAGAAAATAGTATATATTCAAATACTTCCATAATAATACGGAAATATTGACTAGTATAAGATTATTAATTTTTATTTATTAGTATAAGATTAGTTAAGATTATGTTATAATATCCACTAATTTATCTGTCATTTTTTTAAGTGCGGTTTTAGACTCAGTTTACAGTAAATAATTATCAAATTTTAACCTCTAGACAGATTGTGCTATCATTTAAATCCTCCACAAATGTCTTAGGCAAATGGCAATTGGCCAATCAAATCTTAAGTAACTCCAAGTTAGGTTCAGTAGTGTTTAAATTGTTTGTAAAGTATTGACTTTTAACCTTTTAACCATCCACCCCCCTCCACAAACTTAGTAGAGAGAGTAACCTCTCTTGGCAATGAACGAAAAACGTCATAAAACGTGTAATACAGTACTAGGTTTAAATAATAATTATGTGAGCTTTTAAACATCTAAGTTATTCCACATCCGATAATCCAATGGTTTTACGACTTAAGAAGATGGTTCTGTTAGTTTAAGACGACTTTTACATTCAGGAATCCCCATTACCAGCAACACAGCGGAAATGCGTAGCAGTCTGAATACAAGTGTTATAGCCCGGCCTGTGTTGTGTCGATATTTAGATGTACATTGCATCCAGTCACGCTAGAAGGCAGACTCGGGACTTGTCTGTGAAACTCCGACGTTCTGCCTCAAAACGATGAAATGGTGTAAAATGATTAAAGTTGGCTTAATTGATTCAAAGAAAATGAGGACATACTCAATCCAAAGTGAAAAATGCACGTTTAAGATTTAAAATAGATTTAAATTGGTATAAAGTGAAGTTAATACGTTTTAAAAGCAAAAATAAGACCTTAAATAAACGTTCAATGCTTTAAACTATATTCTATAAAATTATAAAGGCATTTCAAAGAATTTAATGTGTATTTACAATGAACCAAATAGAAACTGTATTAACAGTTAAAAACGTGTTCTCAATTTTCGTTAGTATTTCTTAGAATCTTCTGAAATAGTTGGTTAGCATTTAAATATTTAGTTCAATATTTACACAGCTGGAGGTAGAGCACCAAAATGTTAATTAAAAATGTTTCTTGCATTGAAATTACCAAATCAATGGTAAATATCATTAACAGCTGGCCCTAATCGTTGTTTAGAAACATTAAGAATTAAATAATGTTATCCCATCATTAGTACGGTTCTTGTGTCCTCTTGTATCCGTATTGCTATACAAACGGAGGTTTTTTTATAACAGGATCATGTAAATGTAACTAGGTAATTTGTTTGTCTACACAATTTAAAATGGGAATTGCTTTGACCCACACAGTCTGAGATGCAGTTTTTATAGCTGGTCTGCTGGACTCGACCCATTTCAATAAATCACCTATACGCTGAACCGTGCGATTCAGAATGTTAACCCCTTACGAGGAATTCACCTTTTAGGTGTGCTAAAATTCAAACAAAACCACAAAATAATAGTGCGTTATATGTAAACAAATCCCTCACTGGCTGCAATTATTTCAACAAATTACCCACAAACCTTTACTGAGTTTGAATTGAAATTTAAATTCACAGCAATTAACATATGACTTCGATGGAGTCAACACTTATTTGAATAACTAAACTTGCTACTTTTAAACAGATTTTTTTAGTGAAGCATATTACATTGGACTAGAACAATTTTAATAGTTTGACCATAATACATTTGATAAATTATGTTGTATTCCTTCATCAAGAAATATAAATACATAGTAAAAATATTTGCTATGCATGCAAATAACTTTAAAATGTAAATACCTGCAGCAGGCGACAGTTTGGTTACGACTCCCCAACGCTGCTTCCACTGCAACAGAAAAAAAAAATTAAAAATTATCATGGTGTTTAAACGATTTTAGCGAGTACTCCAAAATCTGCACTGTAGTAAGTTTAAAGCATGTAAGTATCTGACTATAGTATGCTTAGGCATTTTATATGTAGTTTTTAACTTATCTTAGATGGCAAAATATAATTACTCAAGCAAGCTATGACAAGCTTTAGTTTGACAAGCCGATTAGTTTGATATGAAATACAATATTCTTTTTCTGGGGCTAATATTTGAGATATGACCATGGGTCCAGACACACAGTTTATAACCATACTGTCCACAGTTGTAAAGAACTCTCCAAGGAGGGAAACGCTGCTTGGAACATAATTGAAAATCCTAACGCTCCCGGGAGCATACTGTGTTACAATCAAGTATACTTTAAGTGTTTCTTCATTTTTCATCTTCTAACTGTAAAATCATCAAAAAACCCCCACCGCAGAAAACCTGCAGACTAAGTGAATTTCGACCTGTCTGAATACATCTTTACTAAAATATTTTACTATATATTAAGACATATTTATTCCAAATTTAAATAATATTAGATTTAGCGAGTGCTTAGGTTTGCTGCTACGGGGAAGGTAAAACGTGTTTTTTTTACCATAGGTCAATAGTACAGGATGAAATAAAAAAATTCGTCAAATTTTATGAACAAATCCATAAACAAGTAAACTACAACAAATTTCATTTGCTCCTTAAGAATTACATTGGAATTTTAAATTACGCCTTTTTTAATTTTCTCTGTCACCGTTAAGGGTACAACAAAAGTACTGCCTTTGAAGCAGTTCAATCCAAGGTAAAACTGATATGTGTATGATTAAAACAAAATATTTCTTATATTATTATAAAATGTAAATAAGAATTAATACAAAATTCCCATAATGGCCATTATGTCATCAAAGAGCCATATTTGTTATAATCAGTTATCGTAATATTCATAATCATTGGAATCATACCAGTTGTTAGATGTTGTATCTAAACAGTATCATTCACTCTGTTGCTCTCTACTAACATTTTTATCGACGTATGGAGGAATGCCTCCTGTAGAGTCCTCTAATTGGTCCTCTTGGTCCTCGTCCTCCTCCTCCAGAGACGTACTTAATGGCAGTCTTACGTCGTCTGATGGTGAAGGTCCCGGGGAGGATGGCAATGGAGTCCCTGGAATAACGTCTTCGCCGACCTTCCCGCAAGGTGCTTCGTTCAGTGGACCTGCGATCGGTATAGGAAGACATATCCGACAATAGCAATGACAAAAGCATTACATGTTATTCAAGGGATTATTGTAGAAATTTACTTCAGCGATTTAATAGACTAAATCATTTCTTTTTTAAGCTTTACAAAACGGTTTTGAAATAAATTGCAAAATATTTTGTTTATAGGGTAAAAATGGGAAAACCCCCCTAAGCCCCTCTTCCCATGTTCCGGTTATAATGGTTCGTGAACTCATTCGAATAAACGTAGGTTTACATGTTTGTACCAAATTTCATCAATATTGGATAATCTTTGCTTAAGTTATCGCGCTAACGGACACACACATATTTATATATATGAATACCTATATATATGAATTTGAACTGATTGTGTTTTTGGCCTCTAGGGACATCAAAATGAAAAAGTAAATCGGTCCTGGGTTCAAGTCTTACCATGAAACCTACGGTAATAGCTTATTACCTATATGGGAAATCTTTCTAAAAAGGTCTATAGAAAAACCAAACATTAAAAGCGCTTTTAGAATATTTATTTGCAAGAAATACCAAGACCAGGTTTGTTGTATTAAAACACATAAAATATAATAAAAGAGTTAAGGTTAAGCTTTTCCAATTACGATATTTTATCACTTTAAAGGATTCCACGCTATTTCTTATGGCAGTCCATCTGTGTTTGTGAATTGACTTTAAACTTAAACACCGATTGTATTTCGTTTCATGTTTGTAATTTATGCTGACTTTTGAGGTATTTTGTATTGTAATGGTACAAACACTGGTTTTATTAAGATCTAAAGTAAACCTTTTGTTTTACATCGTCATTATTGATAGTGCCATGACAATGCATTACAGTCCAAAATCGTTTCTACTTAGAATCAAACAAAAAACCTTCAGATTTGACATAGAAAATTGTTATACAAATTGTTAGGATACTTTTTAACAGTATACTCTGTTAATTTTCCTTTTAAAAGTTTCCTTTAATATAATTGGTGTGGAAATTAATTTGTCAGGTTAAATTTGCTGCAGATTATAGAAGATAATTCATAGCTCGCAGCTCGTGCAGGCATAGACCTGTGTAGCGCTGTGGCGTGTTAGTAGGCTGTCCCATGATGATTATAGTGCTTATCTGTGCTACTATTATGCTCTGATACAGGCTTTACACCTCCACCTGTACACCCTCTATACACTGTAGGATTTAAACTTAGTAGATCAAAAGAGTTAATTAATAAAAACAACCGTATACTCATGCAGGAGACGTTTTTATTTCACTCTTTAAGTTCTAGAATGTAATGAGAAGTTCCAAGATAATAGTTGCAAGCAATATGGTGCAGAATATCATATCGTTCATATCATATTGTTTTTTTTTTACTTTAACTACTAATATTCTAAAGCCCCCCCCCCCCCGGATAAGGAGTGAGAGTTTTTTTACAACCTGTTTTATACAGTGTGTAAATTAAGTACTGAAACAAATCTGTTTTTTTTTTAAACCAAAATAGATAGAAATATTCTGTTTGTGGCAATAATTGTTTAGAAAGGTTCCGCAATTTTTACATCAATAACACTGTTTAACCCCCCTAACAGGGTAGGAGGTAGTGGGTGACCTATTTTTTTTCAAAAGGCAAACCCTATTGAGTGACCCCTCATTTTGAAAGGGTTGTCAACAGAAAAACAATGACGCAAACCCAAGGTAGATTTTTCACCCCTAGCCTAAATGGCGGGTATTCCAACATTTGATTTATGTGAAAAGCACCCATTTTGGAATAACCACCATTTTGGTTAGGAGTGAGATATTCACCTCGGATTTGCGTCATTGTGTTTCTTTTGACACTCAATAGGGGATACTATTTGAAAAAAATAAGTCACCCGCGGGGGGGGGGGTTTAAAATATTTTTGATGTAAAAAATTGCGGAACCTTTCAAACAATTATTGCCACAAACAGAATACTTCTATCGATTTCGGTTTTAAAAATATATATTTGTTTCAAGACTTAATTTACACACTGCTGAGACTATTTGAACAGAAAAAACGCCCTGCCACTTATATGTAGTAGGCATAGTGGCAATCAGAAACATTTACTACATATTTTTAGCTGAAACGTAGGTTGTTTACTCTCGCGTTGAATAGTAGTTTTTGCATTATGCTAGAACTTATATTTCCAAAAGTCAATGGATGTAGTAAGTTGTATAAAAACTATTCGTAGTTAAGTTTAAGCTACAACAAAGCTATGTAGCTTTTATCGGCCCTAGGTACGAAATGTTCTATTAACACACCACACAGAAAAATCATATTACTCTATCTAAACTATAGCAAATTTTGTTTATCATGTTATGATAAACTACAAACTGAACGAACATAGGCAATAAAAATTAACATTGGCACATTTCGAAAGTGAATTATTCGACTACTTGAACAAACAAAATGTTACAGCCAGCCCTAGTGGATAACCCAGTTACCTAAGTATGCAAAAGTCAAATATTTAAATGCGTTTCAAATCATATAGGAATGAAGAAATAGATTCAACTCATAATAAACAAGGGAATGAGAAGATGATTTTTTTGCAAAAGGGTTATCTAAAAAAAGTATTATAGATCTAGTTAAATAAAATAACCAATGTGGAGATAAAATCTTGGCGCAACGACTAAGGATGATCTTGGAGGGGTTCTAAGTTCCAATGCGGGTCTTACCTACCCCGATGTCACAACAAATAAGGGCAATTCGTTTAAAGACAAACATAGAGGGCTATATTTAAATTTTCTACTCGTTCGACAGTCAACCAAAATACTAATAAACCTATTTTACTTTAAATTATTCACGACCACCACAATATCAATGTAACTGGATTGTTTCTCTGAGCGTTATTTTATCGATTGTGTCGCACAATAAAATCGTAGACCCGACTGTCGCACTCTATCTTTATCATGTATGATTTAAAGTTGCTACTTTTAAAATTCTGAATTTGGGTTCACTCAAATAAATATATTTTGTAACATATTAAATGTTACAAAACTCATTGAATCTTTGTGTCGAATAAAAAAGAGTCATCTAGGGATTAATACTCAACCAGATGAAAAACTAATTCCTTTCGTATTTTCACTTAACATATGTGGTATAACAATACTGTAATATGTTAATTTTTTACAAAAACATGTTTAGATACACAAAAAAAGATATAGAGAAGTAAAAATTAATTATAAGCTGAAACTACATTTTCATGTTGAATTTAAATGTATAAAAAGTGAAAATCTTTATAATTGTTCGTAAAAATATAGAGCCATTTTTATTGAAACAAAAATAATTAAAATTAAAAAAAAACTAACTTCTATCTTTGGCCCAAATGGATAACCATACTGTACCATGACGTTGTGAATTATTTTAGGTATTGTAAATTTAATAAAATAATATGCATGTAAGAGATATATACATGGAATATCGTACACGAAATTTTTGTACAAAGTAAAGACTTATAAACCTTAATAATATTGATTAATATTGTGGAAAGAGGAGTTCAATAAAAGAAAAATGTTAAATTTTGCTTTAAAGTTCTTTTCCACTTTTTAATCATTACGAGTAGACATCTTAAAAAGACATTCATCTTACTTTCTATAATATCTCAACTAAAGAAATGTCAACAATAGCGTTTCTCCAATTTCTCCAAAACAGCTTTCAGTGGCCAGTAAATCTTTGTCTGATTGGGATGACAAGTTATTGAAAGATTTCCTTTTATAAATCGCACAGCTCCATTAAAAATATTACAATTCAAAATTTAACTTAGATGTA